ATAACTGGCAGGTATGAAAGCCTGAACCTGTGGAGAGGATTTTTGAAAAAGGGGGGTCGGTCATTTTTGGTGCCAAATTTTCAGTGCGGGATTTTTAGTGTGGGACAGTCAGGGACAATTGGTCATTGGACATTTGGTCACTGGGACAATTGATCATTGGGACAATTGATCATTGGGACAATTGATCACTGGACAATTGATCATTGGGACAATTGATCACTGGACAAATGATCACTGGACAATTGATCACTGGACAAATGATCATTTGGACATTTGGTCACTGGGACAATTGATCATTGGAATGATTGATCATTGGACATTTGGTCACTGGGACAATTGATAACTTGTCAATTGATCATTGGGACAATTGATCATTGGACATTTGGACCTGGAAGGGGGGGGGGGGTAATTCAAAGGTCAAAGTCTAGGTCAACGTCTAAGGAAGCCTATGCCTAGTGCCCTACTGTCTACACCTATTGAATAAGAACCCGTGCCTTTGGATATAACTGGCAGGTATGAAAGCCTGAACCTGTGGAGAGGATTTTTGAAAAAGGGGGGTCGGTCATTTTTGGTGCCAAATTTTCAGTGCGGGATTTTTAGTGTGGGACAGTCAGGGACAATTGGTCATTGGACATTTGGTCACTGGGACAATTGATCATTGGGACAATTGATCATTGGGACAATTGATCACTGGACAATTGATCATTGGGACAATTGATCACTGGACAAATGATCACTGGACAATTGATCACTGGACAAATGATCATTTGGACATTTGGTCACTGGGACAATTGATCATTGGAATGATTGATCATTGGACATTTGGTCACTGGGACAATTGATAACTTGTCAATTGATCATTGGGACAATTGATCATTGGACATTTGGACCTGGAAGGGGGGGGGGGTAATTCAAAGGTCAAAGTCTAGGTCAACGTCTAAGGAAGCCTATGCCTAGTGCCCTACTGTCTACACCTATTGAATAAGAACCCGTGCCTTTGGATATAACTGGCAGGTATGAAAGCCTGAACCTGTGGAGAGGATTTTTGAAAAAGGGGGGTCGGTCATTTTTGGTGCCAAATTTTCAGTGCGGGATTTTTAGTGTGGGACAGTCAGGGACAATTGGTCATTGGACATTTGGTCACTGGGACAATTGATCATTGGGACAATTGATCATTGGGACAATTGATCACTGGACAATTGATCATTGGGACAATTGATCACTGGACAAATGATCACTGGACAATTGATCACTGGACAAATGATCATTTGGACATTTGGTCACTGGGACAATTGATCATTGGAATGATTGATCATTGGACATTTGGTCACTGGGACAATTGATAACTTGTCAATTGATCATTGGGACAATTGATCATTGGACATTTGGACCTGGAAGGGGGGGGGGGGTAATTCAAAGGTCAAAGTCTAGGTCAACGTCTAAGGAAGCCTATGCCTAGTGCCCTACTGTCTACACCTATTGAATAAGAACCCGTGCCTTTGGATATAACTGGCAGGTATGAAAGCCTGAACCTGTGGAGAGGATTTTTGAAAAAGGGGGGTCGGTCATTTTTGGTGCCAAATTTTCAGTGCGGGATTTTTAGTGTGGGACAGTCAGGGACAATTGGTCATTGGACATTTGGTCACTGGGACAATTGATCATTGGGACAATTGATCATTGGGACAATTGATCACTGGACAATTGATCATTGGGACAATTGATCACTGGACAAATGATCACTGGACAATTGATCACTGGACAAATGATCATTTGGACATTTGGTCACTGGGACAATTGATCATTGGAATGATTGATCATTGGACATTTGGTCACTGGGACAATTGATAACTTGTCAATTGATCATTGGGACAATTGATCATTGGACATTTGGACCTGGAAGGGGGGGGGGGGGTAATTCAAAGGTCAAAGTCTAGGTCAACGTCTAAGGAAGCCTATGCCTAGTGCCCTACTGTCTACACCTATTGAATAAGAACCCGTGCCTTTGGATATAACTGGCAGGTATGAAAGCCTGAACCTGTGGAGAGGATTTTTGAAAAAGGGGGGTCGGTCATTTTTGGTGCCAAATTTTCAGTGCGGGATTTTTAGTGTGGGACAGTCAGGGACAATTGGTCATTGGACATTTGGTCACTGGGACAATTGATCATTGGGACAATTGATCATTGGGACAATTGATCACTGGACAATTGATCATTGGGACAATTGATCACTGGACAAATGATCACTGGACAATTGATCACTGGACAAATGATCATTTGGACATTTGGTCACTGGGACAATTGATCATTGGAATGATTGATCATTGGACATTTGGTCACTGGGACAATTGATAACTTGTCAATTGATCATTGGGACAATTGATCATTGGACATTTGGACCTGGAAGGGGGGGGGGGGGGGTAATTCAAAGGTCAAAGTCTAGGTCAACGTCTAAGGAAGCCTATGCCTAGTGCCCTACTGTCTACACCTATTGAATAAGAACCCGTGCCTTTGGATATAACTGGCAGGTATGAAAGCCTGAACCTGTGGAGAGGATTTTTGAAAAAGGGGGGTCGGTCATTTTTGGTGCCAAATTTTCAGTGCGGGATTTTTAGTGTGGGACAGTCAGGGACAATTGGTCATTGGACATTTGGTCACTGGGACAATTGATCATTGGGACAATTGATCATTGGGACAATTGATCACTGGACAATTGATCATTGGGACAATTGATCACTGGACAAATGATCACTGGACAATTGATCACTGGACAAATGATCATTTGGACATTTGGTCACTGGGACAATTGATCATTGGAATGATTGATCATTGGACATTTGGTCACTGGGACAATTGATAACTTGTCAATTGATCATTGGGACAATTGATCATTGGACATTTGGACCTGGAAGGGGGGGGGGGGGGGTAATTCAAAGGTCAAAGTCTAGGTCAACGTCTAAGGAAGCCTATGCCTAGTGCCCTACTGTCTACACCTATTGAATAAGAACCCGTGCCTTTGGATATAACTGGCAGGTATGAAAGCCTGAACCTGTGGAGAGGATTTTTGAAAAAGGGGGGTCGGTCATTTTTGGTGCCAAATTTTCAGTGCGGGATTTTTAGTGTGGGACAGTCAGGGACAATTGGTCATTGGACATTTGGTCACTGGGACAATTGATCATTGGGACAATTGATCATTGGGACAATTGATCACTGGACAATTGATCATTGGGACAATTGATCACTGGACAAATGATCACTGGACAATTGATCACTGGACAAATGATCATTTGGACATTTGGTCACTGGGACAATTGATCATTGGAATGATTGATCATTGGACATTTGGTCACTGGGACAATTGATAACTTGTCAATTGATCATTGGGACAATTGATCATTGGACATTTGGACCTGGAAGGGGGGGGGGGGGGGTAATTCAAAGGTCAAAGTCTAGGTCAACGTCTAAGGAAGCCTATGCCTAGTGCCCTACTGTCTACACCTATTGAATAAGAACCCGTGCCTTTGGATATAACTGGCAGGTATGAAAGCCTGAACCTGTGGAGAGGATTTTTGAAAAAGGGGGGTCGGTCATTTTTGGTGCCAAATTTTCAGTGCGGGATTTTTAGTGTGGGACAGTCAGGGACAATTGGTCATTGGACATTTGGTCACTGGGACAATTGATCATTGGGACAATTGATCATTGGGACAATTGATCACTGGACAATTGATCATTGGGACAATTGATCACTGGACAAATGATCACTGGACAATTGATCACTGGACAAATGATCATTTGGACATTTGGTCACTGGGACAATTGATCATTGGAATGATTGATCATTGGACATTTGGTCACTGGGACAATTGATAACTTGTCAATTGATCATTGGGACAATTGATCATTGGACATTTGGACCTGGAAGGGGGGGGGGGGGTAATTCAAAGGTCAAAGTCTAGGTCAACGTCTAAGGAAGCCTATGCCTAGTGCCCTACTGTCTACACCTATTGAATAAGAACCCGTGCCTTTGGATATAACTCGGAGGTATGAAAGCCTGAACCTAGTTTAGTTTTTGCAGTTCGATAGGGGCGGTAATAAATGAACTTTGTGGAATACATCTGGGTTTTCATTATAGAAAAAGTGCGCATTTTTAGAGAAAAAGATGGCGACACGTTGGATCGCTTTTAGAGTTTAGGAGTGTCTGAAGCTCTCGGAGCTTGGAAGAGTTGGGCGATGGGTAAACCCGGGGGAGGGGCCAAACCCATTTTTAACCAACAAAAAAATTATGTGATAAAAAATACCACTTGTAAAGAAAAGGCCTTTTTGCTTTCTTCTAAACGAATCCGCAAAAAACCTTTTTTTTACAAGTGGCTTAATTGTGCTTTTCCGTTTTTGCATCTAAGAATTCTGCTGTTTGATAACATTTTGTGCTGAAAATAATAGAACAAAAAAATCGACGCAAACGGAAAAGCACTAAAAAATAATAAAAACATATTCAATTCAAATATCTTTTAGACCTCAAAATGTGGCGGAAGCATCTTTGCCACATTTTTTAGCTTCTCTCATCCTTGTAATTCATCATCAATTTGTTGCAGTCCAATGCTCATCAAGAACACTTCTCGCAACACTTCTTCAGTACTTCTTGTTTGTAGCTGTTGATGTTTCAGAGCCGCCCGCCATACATGTACGAGGATTGTTTGTTGCTCCAGCATCATCTATGTACATAGTACCTTTAAAATTAAAAATGCAAAATTTAGAGGAATTATTATGAGAATTAATCCGTCTATTTCCTCCTAACCCCGCGATACCCTCATCCGCTGATATCCTTCCTAATTCACCGGATGCCGCGACGAAATATTCATTGCCTTGTCACCAGGAGACCAGAGAAACTTGAAAATTGCCGACCCCGTTCTAGCTACCGTTCAATGCCCCAGCACAGGTGAGAAATTTAAAAAATATTTCTCATTGCAAAGAATAAAGAAGAGAAAATATCATACCAGCTCCAGCTCAAAGCATTCCACCAGGCATACCTCCAGGCATTCCAGCACAACCCGCAGATTGATAAAGCTTCGAAATGATCAGATTGCAAATAGCTTCCAATTCCTTTTGATGATGCTCAAATTCTTCCTTCTCAGCAGTCTGGTTGGCGTCTAACCAAGAGAGCGTTTCCTGACATTTGTCCAAAACCTTCTTATCGTCTTCGCTAATCTTGTCCTTGAGCTGTAAAAATTTTAGAAAAATTAACCCTGCCTGATTCGAAAAAGGAAGACAGCCATCCCAATCCCAACCCCCAACAAGACATTTCATTCCTGACCCCAGTCCATCCGCCTTAAGGCTGCCCATCACTTCCCCCAGAACATTACCAAACAGGACAGCCATTCCTATCCCCAGACCATCCCCCGAGCCAACCCATCCAATCTCTCAAACACGAAAGCCCACCTCCAAGACACCCATTCCCCTGCTTTATCCCTCAAAATCAAACCTTATCATCCTCCATTGTCTGCTTGATGTTAAAGCAGTAAGACTCAAGTCCGTTCTTCGCCGAAACACGATCACGCTGAATTTCATCCTCTCCACGATATTTCTCAGCCTCTTGGACCATACTCAATCTCATCTTTGGAAAGACGTCCCTTGTCATTAGTGATGGTGATCTTGTTTTGCTTTCCAGTCGACTTGTCTTGGGCAGAAACATTCAAAATTCCGTTGGCGTCAATGTCAAAGGTGACTTCGATTTGAGGAACACCACGAGCAGCAGGAGGAATTCCACTCAACTCGAATTTGCCCAACAAATTGTTGTCTTTAGTCATAGCACGTTCACCTTCATAGACCTTTAAAAAAGGGAGTTTTCCAAAAAATTTCTCAAAAATTTTTTCTAACCTGAATAAGAACACCAGGCTGGTTGTCAAAATAGGTAGTGAACGTTTGAGAAGTCTTGGTGGGAATAGTCGTGTTTCTCTTGATCAACGGAGTCATGACGCCTCCAGCAGTTTCAATTCCCAACGAGAGTGGAGCAACGTCCAAAAGAAGAAGATCCTTTGAAAAAAATTCAAAAACTCCCTCAAAAAAACTCTCCTAAAAAATATACCTGAACATTCTCAGACTTATCGCCAGACAAAATTGCAGCCTGAACAGCAGCTCCATAGGCGACAGCTTCGTCCGGATTGATGCTCTTGTTAAGTTCTTTGCCAGAAAAGAAGTCAGACAGAAGCTTCTGGACTTTTGGAATTCGAGTTGAGCCTCAAACCAAAACAATGTCATGAATCTGAGACTTGTCCATCTTAGCATCACGAATCGACTTCTCAACTGGATCCATAGTACTGCGGAACAAATCAGCGCAAAGTTCTTCAAAACGTGCACGAGTGATGTTGGTGTAGAAATCGATTCCATCAAAGAGAGAGTCAATTTCAATGCTAAAATCGATTCAAGTTAAGGTCAAAAAAATTTCAAAAATAACCTCGCTTGAGTGGAGCTAGACAAAGTCCTCTTAGCGCGTTCACAAGCAGTACGAAGACGACGGAGAGCACGAGGATTGGTGGCAAGGTCCTTCCTGTGCTTACGTTTGAACTCAGCAACAAAATGGTTGACCTTAAAAAGACATATTTTCAGTTAAAACCCCTCAAAAAACTCCAAACCATTCGATTGTCGAAATCTTCGCCTCCAAGGTGAGTGTCTCCAGCAGTCGACTTGACCTCAAAAATACCATCTTCAATAGTCAAGATTGACACATCAAAAGTTCCACCGCCCAAGTCAAAAATCAAGACGTTGCGCTCGCCTTGGCCTTTCTTATCCAAACCATAAGCAATGGCCGCAGCAGTTGGCTCGTTGATGATACGCAGAACATTAAGTCCAGAAATCGTTCCAGCATCCTTAGTGGCTTGGCGTTGACTGTCGTTAAAGTACGCAGGCACAGTGATGACAGCGTCTTTAACGGTTTGTCCCAAAAATGCTTCGGCCGTTTCCTTCATCTTAGTCAAAACCATTGCCGAAACTTCCTTAAAAACCAAAATACATAACCTTAGCCAAGTAAAATCCAAATCAAACCTCAGGGAAGAACGCCTTCATCTCTCCTTTAACCTCCACTTGGATTTTTGGACGAGCACCTTCTCCTTGGATAACCTTGAACGGCCAATGCTTCATGTCGGATTGAACGGCTGGATCGTCAAACTTGCGTCCAATCAAGCGCTTTGCGTCTGAAAATAATTTTTGATTTTGTTACTAGAAAACAAAAGAAAATACCAAAAACAGTGATAGACGGATTCAATGCCACTTGATTTTTAGCAGCGTCGCCAATCAGACGTTCAGTGTCCGTAAAGGCCACATAAGATGGAGTCGTTCGATTTCCTGAAGAAAATAAAGATAAAACGCGAAAACTCGTTAAGGAAACAAACCTTGATGATTAGCCATAAGCAATGGCCGCAGCAGTTGGCTCGTTGATGATACGCAAAACATTAAGTCGAGAAATCGTTCCAGCATCCTTTGTGGCTTGGCGTTGACTGTCGTTGAAGTACGTAAATAGACTGCCAAATACATAAATAGACTGCCAAAATTTAAATTGCTGGGAAAAAAGTACCATCCTCCTTGCTTGACATTCCTAAGCGGCCCCTTTTACTCTCTGTGCCAGTCTTGACTATTCCCAGCCCTTTGACATATGTTGGTGAACCAGCGGGGTCCTATTCTATTTATTTTATTATACCTTGATCATTAGCAATAATTTCGGCACGTCCATTTTTATAAACACCAACACAAGAATAAGTTGTTCCCAAATCAATTCCAATAATCGTTCCATATTTTTTGTCTTTATCCTTAGGTTTGGCAGAGTCGTTTTTGACACCCTCATCACGTCCAAGGCCATGAGATATTGCCAAAAATAATAAATTGAAGAGATCAGAATAAACTTTGTTGTTGTTAACATTTTTGAGAAAAAAATACTCTAGACAAATGAAGAAATTTGAAAAATTAGAAATCAAAGATGGATACATATAAAACGAAACAGCATGTATAGTAATAGGTGAAATAAAAAGCTTCTATAAAGCTTTTGGTCATGAATTAAGAAAAAAAACCTTCAGACCCAGAAAAACATCCTAACATCAGAAAGACATCCCCAGAAAGACACAACACAAAAAATAGCTTCTCTAAATAGCTGCAAAAATGAAAAGAGCAAAAACAATATAAAAAAGTACTGGGAAATCGATAAAGAACTCTATAAGAACAAAGAACACTTCAAAGTTCATCAGATGGTAATTTTTCTCGTTTTTTTGAAATGAAGCTATTCTATGCCACGTTATGACTATGAGATGAATTGAATAAAGGATTTTAATTAATGATAGATTATAAAATGTGGTTTGGCAAAAAAGTTACCTCCAAGTCCATCTTACAAATTAAATGACCCCAAGAAGAAAAGAGATATTTACTCTTTTTCTCTCTCCGTAGTCCTTCTATAATTGGATAAATTGTCATTTTTCGTAAATACATAGACTGCCAAAATTTAAAGACTGCCAAAATTTAAATTTATGAATAAAGAATTCTTAGAACTTAATACAGGGCTCGCATCGACAAAATGCCCCTCAAAAGTATCAAAATCTTGATTAAAAAGTATATAGGGAGAAAATTTGCGAAAAAAAAGTAGTCTCAAAATTAAATTAGAAAATATTTATCCGCAGGCGAAATTTTATCCGCAGACGAAAAATTTCGAGAATTTTGGGGGTCCTTAAGCCAGATTTCTTCCATTTCTTGCGCCGCAGGTGAAAATTTTTTGAAATTTGGACCCCAGAAGCTAAATTTCTTTCTTTTTCAGCGCCGCAGGCGAAAAATTTTGAGAATTTTGGGGATCCTTAAGCCAGATTTCTTCCATTTCTTGCGCCGCAGGCGAAAATTTTTTGAAAATTGGACCCTAGAAGCTAAATTCCTTCCTTTTTCAGCGCCGCAGGCGAAAATTTTGAGAATTTCAAAGGCCGTATGCCAAAAAAATTCACTTTTTTGCCCAATGTCTTCCCCAATTTCATTTTCAATCCAAAATGTTGATTTAAAAGTAGATACTTTCAAAAAAGTATAAATTCAATTTCGTAAGCATGGAGGTCGATTTAAAAGTAGAATACTTTTAAAAAAGTAGGAATGCGAGCCCTGACTTAATAGAAATCTATGTATTAATGCGATATTTACTTTAGAAAATATTTTGCACTCTACTATCTACCTTACTGAAAATCAAATGATCTGAAGTACCCAGAAAAATTTAAATCTAAAAGAAACAAATTCGATCGGTATTGATTCTAGAAGACTCTACATGACTTCCGGCTCCGTCTTTAAAATTGATGGATTCATGGCTAATAAATAAAGACGGATGAGCTGGCCCTGAGATCTAACGTCGAAAGAATTAAGAACACAAGGATGTGTCAAATTTGATTAGGAAATTTGATTTGATATCTGTTATTTAAAAATATTCCGAACGTCGAATTAACTCAAAGCGACAATACATATGTTCTTTTTACAATCATTTTTGTTAAAAATGAGTACTTTTATTTAAATTGACCTATTTTCCTTTAACTTATCAGAACTTCCATAAAATCAAAATCTATTTATCTGTGAATACTTAAAGATATTTAATGAGGATTGACTGGCAATCATTTAGTTTTTAAACTATTTTCTTTAAAGGATTAATATGTATTTAAATAAAGGCATTTAATAACAAATGCTTCACATGTTCTTATTTTTATTCTAAGATTTATCATCGTTTAACAATAAACTACCTAAATTATTAAATAGGTAGTCAGTCTGTCTCTTCTTATATTAAGTACATATTATAAATATATTGAGCGGTCGGCTTGGATCATCATCCTTTCATTTTATGTAGGATTGAGAGGATGCTACTTTTTTGGAATGTTTGCTTAATCTCCTAAAAATACGCCAATATTTATTAAATATTTATAATAAACTTTTTAGGAATTCTTATTCAAAAATTTACTTAGGTAAGTGAAAACAAAATATACTATGTAATTTAATAATCAGATACTCATCTCATTTTCCAATCTTTGTTATTCTGAATTTTATTAATTTCTTAAAATTTAACTGAAATAAATCTGATTTGATTAAACCTTAATTAACTTACATATTAAATTTTAAATTAATCTTTTTATAATAAATTTTTTATAAATATCAGGATGGTTTGTATAACTGTCAATAAACTATTACTATTAATTATTTTATCAATGCATTTATGCCATATATCTCCAGTCACTACTTCGCTAGATGACCTTAAAATAAATAAATCATTTCATCAATCAATTACTTCAGCTGAAAGAGTTGTAATTAAACAAGCATATATTAAGTAATTCACATTAAATTAAACGATTTAGACTCAACTCCATGAAATTGTTGGGCCGGAATTTAAAGAAATACGACAATTATTGGATGAAATACGTATAGCATCACTTAAAAAGCATGGTTTATTTAATGATCAGGTGAAATGAATATTAGAATATTCTGAGAGAAATTAAACAAAAATATAAAAATATAATAAAAAATTCCTTTTATAGGATCCGACTAAGCGTATTGACCGTCAGCTAATTCGAAATAAACTCACTTTCGATGATGGCACTGAAGCCTCAATTAATAGACAAATTTCAGATGATCTATTCGAAAATGATATACTATTAACTCTTAATCAGGCTGAAGATATACTTAGAGAAATTAAACAATGTATATTTCTTTTATAAGAATCATTATATTCGAATGAAGTGATTGACAATAATACTTTTCATTTCTTTTAAAATATTATGTATTTATTAGCCCCTAATCTTCGGAGACGTGGTGGAAGACAAGCTATTTCAAATACAAGGTCCTTCTGGGAAAATACAACTATTCCATATACATTCAATGTGGCACAAACGAATGGTTATTTGATTATTTAAGTTTTAATAGAAGAAAAGTTTTAGATGAATGGCGAAAAAGCATACAAAATGCTCACAGACATATTGAGTAAGTCCAATAATTACTTTAGGATTTCTCTTGATAAACATAAATTATCATTAAATTAGAGGCCTAACTTGTTTTCGTTTTGTTCATTACGAGAATGAAAGAGAGTTGGGAAATAAAGACTATCTTCAGTATTTTCGTGGAGGTGGATGTTGGTCTCAAATTGGGCGTATTGGTGGTCGACAGCCTATATCTATTGGTTATGGTTGTGAATCTGTATGAAATAGAATTACGAAAATAAACCAAAGAATTTTTAGTTGGGTATTGTTGCTCATGAAACATTGCATGCCCTTGGTTTATGGCATGAACAGTCGAGAACCGATAGAGATAATCACATCCGCGTCAATTTTGATGCTGTTATGCCTGTCGGTTTCTTAATATAAGCATAAACTTTATGCAATTATAGACATCCTTTTTAGGGAACAGAATCGAATTTCGAAAAGCGATCAGCGCAAACAGTTGATAATATGGATCAACCATATGATCTTGGCTCTACAATGCATTATGGATCCAAGGCATTCAGTAACGATGCTAAAAGGCATATACATGACAAATATCATTGTTTAAAGCTTTTATAGCTATACGATTTTTACTCGTGATCACTCCTATCAACAAACCATAGGCCAGCGTTTTGGACTTTCTTTTAAAGATGCAAAAATGATTAACTTGAGATACTGTTCGAGTAAAATTTGAGCTTTATATTAGACTACATTATTATTCATTTCAGAGCTATGTCAGGTACAATTGGACTGTGATAAGGGCGGATATACTGATCCTCAAAATTGTGAACAATGTCGCTGCCCAGACGTATAAGATAAAATAAAAATTCTAGCCATATTATTTAGGGATTCGCCGGTACCTACTGCCAGGAATTGGAACAGAGCAGTGAGCCTAACTTTTTATGACCATGAAAACATTAGGATTGTTCATTGAAAATCTTATTAAAGCATTAATAGCTTCATTAAACAGATTCAAATTCTTGCCGAGGAACAAGCGACTTGACTGCCGGTGAATGGCCAGGCGATATCTCTACTTCAAAACTCCAGCCAGGAATTAAATGTTTTTGGAGAATTCATGTGATAGATCTAAACGTTTTAATTTGTGTGTTTATTATTTAGCCTCAATACTCAAATCAAAGTGTTCAACTTATATTCGATCGTTTGAATTTCCCATGCAAGGAAGCATGCACAAGTTATTTAGAGGTGAAATACAAGACAGAAAAAATTGCTACTGGTATGTAAAATTAAAATGCATGGCTTTCAATATTTTATTTATGTATATTTAAAGTGTAATAAATCTGTTTGAAGGTGCGAGGCTTTGTTGTGATTTGCCGGCAAACATAATTTCTGAGGTCGGAACAGAAGTTATCCTAATTTTACGAACAGATGAAAAGTTGAATTCTGAATTTGAAGGCTTTCACTTATCATTTAAATCTGGTGATAAAATTCCCTTGAGTAATAGATTCTTAAAAATCTAATTTAGTTGAAGGATATGTCAAAAACACCACTACTGGCATAATAAAGGTAAGAAATCTTAATATATCCTTCGCAGCTCAATCAATCGGTTGAAAATAGAAAAGAATATTATTTAAAAACGTATGTATAATAGAATTTATTGGGAATTGTTTAGCCTACGCCCACAACTACGACAACCACCACCACACCTAAACCTAAGGCAAGTGATTTCTAGAGATTTTCCTCATGAAATTATATTTAGCCAGATGGTTGGACCTCATGGGGAAACTGGACAGAATGTTCAGCTACATGTGGTGCTTGTGGACAAAGAAAGCGCATTAGATATTGCTTGTCTGGTTCTGGCAAATGTAAAGGATCTGATTATGAAGTAGAACGTTGCGCATTTTCACCATGTCCTTTACCTGTAGAGGTGTCACGTTGCAATGGGCGTTTAGTGGGTTTTAACTACTTCTATTATTAAATCTGAATGAAGTAAACTTTTTCATCTTTCGGCTATTTTATTAAGAATATTTGATTTTATTTTATTTGAAATCAGCGAAAAATCTTCAGTAATTGTAGATATCTTTTAGGTAATGCCATGTGAGTTAATGGAAGAATTGGAATTTGGTACGGCATTAAACTACGTCTCACTTAGACATCACAACGGAGGTTACTCATTTAGCATAAATTATAACATTCTCCGCGTAATAACCCACAACTTTTTTTAAAAATTCATAAATTTAGAATCCTTGGATCTTAACGGTATTTCTTCTTCAATGCTTGACTCGAACATTCAATTGGAGGGAGATAATCATGACATAATTCATAATCTCTTACTGCCCAGATTTAAAAATGAGAATATTATAACGCGATACAGACGTCTAACAGCTGTGAGGCAACAAAGATATTCGCGCGGAAGCACAGCTGAAAAGCAGCTCTGCGAAAAGTATGAAGTCGTAAATTTATTTTTAAATTTATTACGGTTTCAGACGATTTACCTATCACTGCCCTACTACATTACTAACTATCAGGTAAATTTTCGCATAGCTATTTGAGCTTAAAATCATTTAAAATATACTTAGTTTGGACTTTCTCGTTGAACGAAACAAACGTGAAATTAACAATATCCATAATGAACTTGCCCATGATTCTCGTCATCCTTGCTGTGCCGGTTACAAACTTGAGAATGATACTTGTATAAAAATGAAAGGACTTGCTAGTTAAAGTAAATTCTGAAAAACTCATTTTAATATCAATTGTTTTTTGTTCGATATTTTTTATTTACACTTTTTATTTCAACCTAATTAAACCCCATTTTCTCTATATGAATTTATTTTTTAATTTATCTTTTATTATTCGTTTGCTAATATAATTAATGATAAGTAAAATTTTTTGAAAGTGAAAATACTAAATAAATTAATTTTATTGACAGCCGTCGCGTTTTCGTTGACCTAAATTCGTTGACGGTTGTAAAATGAGCTCCTTGTACCCTATTAGTTGGATATAAACTAATATTCTGATAATATTAACCCCGCTAATAATTTTTATAATAATGAGAATATGTATTATAAAAATTTTTTAATAAATTTTCATTTTACATCAATGTATTGTTTAAACATTTTTATTTTTATTATTGGTAGCTAATTTATTTTCCAAAATTTCATGTCGGTTTTAATTTCAGTAATTGCTATTTCATCTGCTATACCAGAACAACAGGTTGCCCATAAAATCCCCCATTGTCCTGTTTATTCACGCCCGGTAGGTTTAATTAAATATAGATTACTAGGAGGATTAATTGAATAAACTGAGGATTTTAGATGCTGCGACCCAATGGTGATGTAAGGAAATGTTTGCCACATCAACTGAATCTATGTTTAAATGCGCTAGAGGATTCTGCATTGGTGATTTTTGTAAAAAAAATCCTTGCCCATTATGATGTATAGCCAAGATTAGGCCATAAAAACGGTCTATTAGGAATAGATTTCTTTGAATCTATTGAAAATTTTAAGAAATTATTTATTGTATTAAGATAGACACAAGTGGAATTTGTTGCTACCATAATCAGGTCAGTTTATTTTAGTTCCTGATAATAAATAAGCCAACAAATTACCAGGTTGACTACTTTTGTTGTATGGATATACCGGCCAGATTATGCCCTTCCTATCGAAATGTTACCGTTGTAATTCACAACAATTTTCCTCAGAGTCAATTCCCCGTAAGATCATTTCATTTTCGAAAGGGTGTTGAAAAAGAAATAGCCGACGGAATTCGTGCTGCTGCTGCCAGCCGGAATTAATTAGTATAAATATAAAGGAAATTTTATTTTTTCAAAAGTATATTAATAAATATATTATATAATCTAATATAGGAATAAATGTCATTCATAAATAAATCACCGAGATTTTGAATAAAATATAAAATAAAAAAACCCTCCATTCATTTTATGTCCAGTAATAGCAAATAATCATCACAGTAAAAAGGATAAACGGAGCGCATAAGAATGTTGATATAAAGATAATACGAGGTGAAGGCATCCAAATAGAAAATCCTTGAATATCCAACATGTATTTATTCTTTTGCTTCATAGATGTTTGATTGTCAAAATTTGTAACTACAATAATTCATATATTTATAAAATTAAATTCATAAAAATACTTTTACCTAAACCATTTAACTTGTTATCATTTTTTTCCGTTCTAGACTCTTCATTTGTTTTCTTTACCTCGCTTGAGATAATATGCGGATATTTAGGGGATTCCATTTTTTAAAAAAACTGGAATAAAATATTAATTACAAAAAGTTATAATTAATTAGTTACTATGTTAATGATTTGTTATTTTTAATAAGTATAGAAAGCTAATTAAATTTTACAAAAGTTTCGATGATTCAGCTAGTTCTATACATAGTTGATCATGCGATATTTTATACTAATTTTATTCTATTAAAAATTTTTTTGAATTTAGCATTGATAATATAATACAGGGTGCGGCAACTTTTCCGCCTCTTTTGTTTTTATCATCAATGAAAATTGATTGTTCTTTTTTTTATCTTTTTTCTCAACACTAAGAAAATTTTTGGAATCAAATATTAGAAATTTGGTTCACTATTATTAAAGATAGGTATTCCCGTCCGAACATCTAAAATCGGCAAAAAATTCTCATTAATTTTAAAGAAAGTTAAGATAAAAACAAAAGGGGCGGAAAAGTTGCCGCAGCCTGTTTTGGCCTGAATTTATTAACAACATTAAGATTAACTATTAGAGATAAATGAAAGCGTTGATAATAAGTTATTAATAATTTTTAACGTTAATAAAGCGTTAATACTTAATAATTCTATTCAATCAGTAAACAGTTAAAATTTCTTAAATAATAACCTTATATGTCATAATTAACATACGTGGCAATATTGATAGCTACATCGATTTTTGAGTAAAATTTTGTCTCCAACATGTTGCTTATATAAATTACTATGTTTAAGCATAAATGAAAAGCATAAAAGAATGACAATGAACGTCATAAAAATGTGAACAAACAAACGAACACGGCGAATATTAAAGAAAATTATACTTACTTTAATACATATATGCATATTATTAAAGAAAGTCGGCATGGAAACACTTTATTAAACAATAGGTGTTCGGTAATTAACAAGTGCCTTCAATTACTCTCTTATTGTTTTATATGTAGATCTCGATTAAAACGGCAATTTTCAGAATGATGTTTTAACGAGAAACATAGTGTTGGATAGAAATTATGTAAAATGAAAAGGGAATAATCAAAGTCAAGTAATCAAATCGATCTAAGATAATTTCTAATCTTGGGAAAAACAAATGTTCAAGCGATATCCATATCTTACCGTAAAGTGCATTGTCGGAAGCTTTTACGGTCTACAAAGATTTGTTAATCCTTTAAAGTGCTAATTGTTACATCATCAAAGTAATAGACACCTTGTCATTAAGTCAAATGATTTAATAATTTAGACGTAAGAGAGAGAGAGTGAATAATTTAGAGGTTAAGAGGATGCCGACAAACTCACAACAAATCAACTACCGGCAAAATCAAAGATAGCGGCAAGACTAGCCATTGCTCCTTCCTTGCACTTTAAGTTTTCTTAATCCCTTTCAAAATTCTCTATCCCCTAAAGATTTTTTGCCGCCTCTTTCTCTATAACTGATTTGTTTCCTCTCTTATCATTATCCTTTTTCTCAACCCATGGCCAATGCTACTGACGCGCAAAATGCAGACGCTTGTCTATTTCCCAATCACATCAAAGCAACGCGCCTACATCCGTTTTCCTTGTATTTATCAGAGGTCTGTCAACAACTACTCAGCCAGTCTCATAATCATTCAGTCAATCCTTAAAGCGGATCCACTGTAATATTTTTATTTATTAAATAAATTTAAATTAAAATAAATTATTAATATTTAACTAATTACTAATTATCTTAACAAATTCCTTTTAATTTCACTAAAAGAGATATAAAATTTCAGATAATCCAACAAACATAATGAATTTGGATTATTTTCTCGTGACTACTGGAATTTTGGTCATTATATCCATTACAAATGCCCGTGTAGGTCGAGTTAGATTCGAAAGCAGAATTTCTATGTCCAATCGACCTAGCAGCAGTGATGGATATATGTATCCAAAATCAGTGCAAAAACAAAATCCCGCAAAATCTGCGATGAGAGGGCCAAAAGTTACTCACAGCTTTAACCACAGAGCTACGCCGAATGGTCATGAAATGGAATTCTCAATGCAACATGATATGTACCGCCCCAAGCCACGCTCTAAACCAAAACCAAAGCCTGAACCAAAGAAAGAACCAGAACCAGAATCTTCTGCTGATCCTGAACCAGAACCTTATGAAGGCATTGAGGCGTGGGACAAAAAAACTTTGATTGAGAATGTTATAGCTGCTTACAAGGATACATGCAAAAGCTCCGATATTGTCATTTTTTCACCAGAATCAAAGCTTAAATTGGTCTCATCGGTCAAAAAAATGCCGCTAGAGGTTAATGATTACCCTTGGGTTATGAATGTCGAAATGTTTTGCACCTTGAATTTTTGGCGTGTACATTCCTGCTTCAGCATGCCCTTGGAGGATGGATTCAAAAAGGCTCTAATTAAAAATGGCATCGATTTCACTGATGGGTTAAAATATCTATATTATAATCCATTTATAACTTCTATTTTAGTGGAGCGCATGGACCTAGTTGCTCATTGATAAGAAAGTTTGAAGCGAGTGAATTGAAAGAAACAAGAACTGTGGCCGAGGATGAGCTAAAGACGGCTTTGACAGATATCTTGCTTGAAGAATTTCATAAATCTCGTTCATGGCCCAATCCAACTAAATGTTTGTCGTGACAATATCCTTTTAATAATTCTTTTAATAATTAATAGCTTTCGAGATACCATTTCCAATGAGAGGAGCAAAGGATGCTTATTGGACACTGTCGACGAAAATTAGGAAGTTCAACACTTATTTAAACGAACAGTCAAATGATTTCTGTACTGCATTTCATACAGATGCACAATTATTCGATCATTTTGAAAAGTTTACAGCTGGTACTGAAAAAACTAAAGTGGATGATGCTTTCCGTAATTTGACAAGTGTAATGAAAGCCATTCCGTTGGAGAAGGATAAAGAAAAGGGTGATTGGTTTTTATTAAAAATTATTTTTTATATACATACTTAAAATAATTCCTAAAATTAACAGAAGGAAGCGAAGAAAATTGCACTTATGATCTGTTTCTCTTTCGAGTCGAGCTAGAATTTTTCCTTGCTCTCGACACAGCAATTATTGACTGGCTATCTAAATATGTTAAACCAGATAACCACAATTACGAATATTTCTGCCGTGAGAAAGAATATTGTTTATATGCTCAACTTCGTAAAAGAATTAGGGAATCAAAGGAAATCACTGAGAAATTGATCAAAAATTTGGGAGATTGGTTCGAGGGTCGGAAACATGGTCTCATCAACGATGATTTTAAATATTTCGCGGCTAACTATGTTGCTGAACGCTTCCGCATTAAAATTCCTGCACCGCCGGAGCCTTTGAAGTTAAAAGTCAAATATGAACACGGCGGATATAAAAACAAGGTGCTTTACGAACATGATGGAAGAAATATGAGAATGTTAACAAAAGTATCTCATCCAAAATCAAAGATACAAGGAAAATCATTTCCAAATTCTAAAAACTTTTCTTTCCATCATCAATATAATAATGGAATCCATGGAGATGTCTCAGAAGAAGACGGGGAAAACGAGATGTACGTGCCAAAATCGGCTTATGCAAATCCTAACAACTTTTCTTTCCATCATCAATTTAATGGAACTCATGGAGATATATCAGAGGAGGGAGATGAAGGAGCTGGACATGAAATGCATGAGGATACCAGTAATGGTATGTCTAGAATTTATTTTTCAAAATAATTTTATTTTTTTCAGAAGAAGACATGCATGCACAAATGGAAATGAACCATGAATACGACAACCAGTATGATAACATGCATGACACGTCATTTGAATTAGGTCATGAGGAAATAACTGATAAAAATGGAAAGAAACAAAAAGTCCTTAATTACCGTTGCCGCATGGGCCCGCATCAAATGAATTACCAATTTGGCTATGATCCTGCTTGCGCAGTTTAAAAACTTTTATTTCTTAGACCAATCTTTAACTATTTTTTTCCTTTCTTTCATCTCTATTAGAAACTTAGCTCTTTACCAACCTATTTTACTTTTATAAGCATAATTACCACACCACATAATCCAATACTTTTGTGCCCAATAAACAACCACAATAGAGAATGTCTTTAAATTTTGTTAAATTCAGTATAATTTGGAATTTAACTTGAAAATCCAGAAATTTAAAATAAAACTTATTAAAGACATATTCTACATCTTTTATTTTTTTATTAAAACCACCACACTTCTCCACGGAATTTGAAGCAAAACTTGCAATTACAAATACCGGGTCAACCAATAATTGAATTAGTGGAGAAAGAACATCAATGTAAAGATGATTAAGAATTTTTAATTAAATTATTTTAAAAGAGAATTTCTAATAAATTTATACATAGATAATATTAATTTATTATAATATTTCCTGTTCCTTTCCAAATTTCTTGTAATAATTTTTTGAGTAAAACTTTCTTTATATTTTGTTAGAATATTTTTAAGAATTAAAATTAAATATATGTTTAGTAACCAAGATTTATCATTTAATTTCCATTAGGGAATTAGGCATCTGAATAATCCTTGCGCTTTCTAACATATCGAGTCACAAAAATACTATAATGATATCACTTTAACAAATACTATTGAATTTAGGTATAAAAAGTTTTTGAAAATTATAGGCTAAAAAATACAGGTATTTATATAAGTATAGAAAGGATGTCACCCGAAACCCGATCAGAAGGAAATTTTGAAAACTCGTCCCTACTTTTTCCCGACTCGTGACATCCCTGAATTATAGGCATATTATCTTAATAATAGGTATGTTAATCTAATATTCTGGATTTCTTGTCTGAAACTTCTGATACGTATTCACTTTTTTCCACATGCACTTTACATTTCCTGTCGGAAAGATTTCATAAACATACATAGCGTTGAAATTAAAAAGGCAAATTTTTGAATATTGAATTAATTTCGCAAGCAAAACATCATGCGCCTATTTAAGCGTCTGACATGGGAATGTGATTGATTTCAAAATATTTTGCACTTTTATAAAACTTAAAAAAAATTTTAAAAAATTGAGAAATGCAAGTGCAATTAACAAATAATTGTTTTAAAATTTATAAAATATACAAATTATTTCGATGCGTTTTTGTTTTCCTTTACTCTTTATCATCATCTTGAAACTATCGGCTGCCTCTGGCCTTTTCACTTATAAACTATGGAATAAACAAAAGCTTATTAGCGAAGTTGTTAAAAACTATCTTTTGAGCTGTCAAAGACTGGATATTTTGAAGAATGTAGAAAATCTTAAAAAAGTCTTCCAAGTTGGTATTATCCAAAATGTCAATTTTTGGGAACAATTAGAAATACTTGTTGATTTGCCTAAATTCTGTGATCAAAAGGAATTGATGAGTGCAAAATTTGAACAATTAGATTGTTTTGAAATGCCAAAAAACGGAAATTTACTTCGCTTATTAAATGAATATAAAATTCAAGTAGATAAAACTGAAAAGTTTATTAGACGTTTATTGGTATGCAAACTTATTTTCAGGATGGATAGGCCCAAAGTTTCAGAGAAAAATGTTAAAGCTTTGATTGCTGATTTTTTAATTGAGGAAAGGAATAGGCCAATAAATTTTGAATCGAAAATAAACAAATCAGTAAATTCTACAAGTAAAAAGAATATGGAGGATGTTGATAGTGAACACAACAAGAGGCTCGTGTTAATATATTATGAAGCTTCTGAGTGGCTTTGGCGATTGAAGAATTTGCTCAATAACCTTTATCATCTCTATAAAAAGTCAGAAATAATCACTGGTCTTCAAACAAATATAAAAACAAAGATAAATATAAAGAAAAATGATGTTGGGACAAATGTTCGAATGCAGACAAGCATTCATTCAGAGAGGTTTTGACAATATAAAATTTAATAGTATTCATTTTAGGCATTTGAATGATGCCTGTAAAATTTTAAAAGCCAACACTGAGATTTTCGATCTCGTTGAAGCGCATTTAGTTAACAAGGCGGATCGTTCAAATATAGAAACAATTTTTAATAATATCAAGAGTATTGAAATACAAATTCTCAGGAAAATTCTTAAAAGAAATAAAAACTCAAGTTATGGTAGTAGTTCATCTGAAAATAATACAAGTAAGTGAAAACCTATACATTGTCAGAAAGTATTTCAAACTTCAGATGATAATTCTGAGTGTATTAGTAAGCTTGTAACTCTTACTGCAATTATCGAGTTTTATCATTCGTTAATTGATGCTATAGCACAAAGGATTCAGACTTTAGAAGATAATTCTTATAAAATATTTTGCCCTGAAAAAACTTCGAATTGTTCCAAAGATGATTTGATGAGAGTTTTATTTGAAATGAGAAAAAAGGCTGAATTGTTAAATGCTTCTATCAATTCATGGTTTAAACGAAAATTAGTAAAGAATGAATACGAGGAATTACAATACCAGTTAAAAGGCAAAGTTGATGGGCAATTTCCCGTTTGGATAATTGAAAATGAAATGCCTAAACACAGAGGAATTGTTGCACGAATGGAACACGGATTGAGGAAAATTAGGAATCAAGTTAGCTTTTTATTTTATACCTTCGAATCTTAAAATTATATTAAAAAAAGATTTATCAGCCTACTTGGGAAGCATCGAAAAATAAGAAAAAGATGGAAAAACAAGGAAGAAACCGATACCGTTATTTTAATTCAACGCCAAGGATTAAAAGAATTCATAAGCATAAACCTCGAATTCTTTATGTAGTTGATGAGCCATCTCGTCCTGCTTATTATTATCAGAAGAGATTGAAGAGAGGATTTTGGAATAATTGACTAAATATTTTTTAAACATAATTTGATGTATTTAATTTATATTCCAGCATTGTATTAAATATAATGTTGAATTATTTCGAATAATTTTTTATTTAATATTTTCTTATCATTTTTCTTATCAGTTAATTTTTATTTCTAATTATCAATAAATTTGGATATTTTCAAATATTATTTAGCAGCATTTACATATCTTAGAATAAATAAATTGTTTTAATGTTTATAAATAGCAAAAACTACACGGATTTCCTTGCGGAAATTCGCACCATTGGTGGCGAATTTACCTGGATTAGAAAAAACAATTTAGGAAAAATACAAAATGCTGGTCGTTCACCTAAGGAAATTGCAACTGCAATATTTGATTCTGAAAGAATTAAGGTTTAATAATCTTCAGTGGATTATAAATAATCTCTTATAGAAGGTTATTACCGATGAGGCTAGTAGAAGAGATGTTAAGGATGATGTTGTTTACTCTGAAGCAAAACAAATTCTTTCCAACATGGCCAGTGACTTTCATTTACATTCTGCTGTACAAACAATTGGTTATTCACTAGCCAAGATATTTGGAGTATTGTTATAATAATATTATTTTTTATAATATATTTTAGCGTATATTCTCTCATATTTGGTATAATTCTGAAGCTTTGGAAAAAATTAGAAAAATTTCCTATGATAGATCAGTCAGTATTGTTTGGCTACCTACACACAAAAGTAAATTTTTATAAACAACTGTGTCATGATTTTTGTTATTATTTAGGCTATTTAGATTTTCTTTTGATCTCTCTTCTGTGTTATCATCATCAAATCCAGTTACCAGCGATCTGTGCAGCTGAAGATTTTCAATCTTCTAAATTACTTGGAGAGGCTCTACGACGTTGTGGGGCATTTTTTATTAAGAGAAAATTTAAGGAGGTTTTTTAATTGCTGTAATTTTTAAAGCAATATAAAAAATTATAGGATCCTATTTATTGGGCTATATTTGCCGAATATATTCAACAACATATATTTCATTCTGATAGACCAGTTGAATTTTTTATTGAGGTAACTTTATCTATTTACATATGTTGGTGGATATCGTTGTCCACCAAGGACATTGGTGGACATTGCTGTTGGAAAATCCCTAGACTGAACCTACGTAAAATAAAACAACAATTAAGGGTCAGAGGAGTAGAACCGGCAAATCTCTCTTTCCTCGCACAGGGTTGCTGCAATTAGTTGTTGAGCTTTTCATGAAGGCTCAAGTCTATGACACGGTTTAATTTAAAAATTTAATGTGATTGTCGATGTTTTTCTATCTCAGCTACTTGTTCCAATTACAATAAATTATGATCGTATTCTTGAAGAATCCCTCTTCTCATATGAACTGCTTGGGCAACCAAAACCAAAGGAGAGTGCTTCCGGTCTATTAAAAGCAAGACAAATATTGTCTGATTCGTTTGGCAGCATTTTTATTACTATTGGCCATCCAATATCCCTTAGAGAATATTTTCTTAGTGGAAATATTAATTTGGAATTTCGTGGTGAATTAATGAAGGTTTACAATTTCTAGAAATAAATTTTAAAGTAATCCTCAATTTATCAAACATATACAAAATTAAGGACAAAGATAACTCATTTTACGACAATAAATTAAGAGAATTAACTGAAAGTTTGGCTCTTAAAATTGTATCAGCTCAAAATAGCAATAATGTGTTAACTATTTGGCCATACATAGCACTAGCTATATTAAAGGTTTTGTTAATTATTTAAATATGTATATATAATAGTTACTCAGATTATTAATGATCCCAGAAGAAATAGTCAAGAACATTTTAAAATTAATATAGCAGAATTAAATCATGTTGTTGAAATGCTTGTTGGAATTTTAAACAAATGTTTCGATATAAGGGAGATTTATACTAAAGGATTTATAATTAAAAATGCCATACTGTATTGTTACTAATTCGATAAAGATAAATATTTTAATTAGATATTATCTTCAATTGCATGGGAGCTATGTTAATTTTAATCCAAATACAAATAGCATTGACTTAAGAGAGATGTCATTGCCTCAAACTTCAAATATAGCTTCGAAATATTTGCCTACTATAATATTATTGTCAAATTACTCCAGCATAGCAGTTCACTCCCTTGCTAATTTTTGGTACCTAAATTTTCATTTAATAATTCGTATTAGATTCTATTAATAATTTTTTCATGTACTTATTTTAATTATAGCTTCTTCTCAATTTCGGAAAATATCTCAATCATACCATCACAAGTCTTTGACAACTTTAAGTATTTAAAATAAATTTTTAGACTTTATGAATTTTTTAGTTTCCTCTTCTATTTGTTTAACAAGGAGTTTGTTTCTGATCCTAATCAAATTTCCGAAAATTTTAATTATGCGGAAATAAAGTGTAAACATTTAAACAAGGTTGAGTGCCACCTACTGGCTCAAATAATGATAGTATTTTTATAATAATAAATATTACTTATGCCATTATTCACGGTTTTCAGCCTTATATTATTGCTTATCATGCAATTTTCGAATTATTTTTGGAAATGAATAATGAAGAAAAGATTAGCAACCAAAACGAGTTTTTTAAAGCAATTCATCAGAAGCTAATTTTTAAGATTAACAATGTAACGAACAAATTGCAATTACAAATTGCTTCTATAGATCTAATTAAAAATGGATTCAACTTTTTAAGATCTGAACAATTAATTAAAGTATAGTATGAAGTTTATATAATTAATAATAATTTTTGTTTAGTTAAATCAAAATGAACATTTGTTAGTTAGTTTTGCTGGAATAGCACAAATTGTAAAGAAACTGGATAGCATTTTAAGATTAAATTTTAAAGAATTCAATAAAGAATTATCATTAAGATCAAAAATATAATGATTTATTTGATTCCAAATTTATCGTTTTGTTAAAATTTACATAAAAATTCGGGAAATAATATATTATTCTAGTTGGAAAAAGACGAAATTAGTTAATGTAAACTGAGATAATTACCCTTTCTCTCAAATAATTACCCTCTCTAATAATTAACACCTTGTCTTCTTACTCTAATTTTAAAAATATTTAAATAATTATACATATTTAATTATTGGAGCATTTTAAGACTTAATATCAAAAAATAATTTATTTTGCCTGTTAACTACTCCCTCCAGCGAGAGATTGAAACAATAGTTACCCAGGGTAATTATTTCAGCATTTGTGGTAATTTTAGATTCTGGAAAAAAGAGGGTTTCTAAACTAAGCCGAGTCTCATGTATAAGTTATGTTAAAAGTGCATCTATTTGTTTATCAATAATTTCCTATGACGTGATGCTATTTAATTTTATTTTTCAATGATCGGATTTAAGAAATTTATTTCTTTTTCTATGACGTGATTAAAAAAGAGTGGATTACACTCAGAATTCGCTCAAAAGAAAAGAGCGCGTTTCAAGACAGCTTGAAGCTCTGATTGATAATTTGATAGTTTCTTGGATTCTTCCATGGATTCAGGATTTTATCATTTTGGCTATGATATCCACGTGAATTCTTATAGTAACTTTTCCCATTATAAAATTAAGAATTTCTTAATTCATTTCACTTAAGAAAAATATTTCAAAAAGTGCAACCTAAAAAGTGCAATTTCATTTCCTAATGAATTCATAATTTTATATTTCAAAATATAAAAAATTATTAAATAATATTTTTTATATAAGAAGCATGATATTATATAATGTCAGTAAAATAATATTACTTTATTACTTTAATTTGATAGTAGGATATAAGTTTCCAGGCTATCTATTAAATTAATCTGAAGTATTTTATGTATCTTCTTACACCTGAAATTATTTATCTTCGTAGAATATATTTTAATTATTCTCCGTTTTTTTAATACAAATTATAGTTAAGAAATTTTCATGTTAAGAAATACAGACATTTTTCATAGCTGTTTTTTAAATTTCCCTCGAAAGTGCAATTTAACGAGTATTTAGACAGAAAATATCCTATTAATTTATGTATAATTTAAATATTTTTGAGAATTTATTGTTAATATTCTTGAATAAAATAATTCTAAAATAAAAATAAAAATATTATTTCAGTAATGGGAAACAGCATGGCTGCGATAATAATTGTTTTACAATTCATTATGCTCCTTTTTAGCTATTCATTAGCTCATTACTCAAATATGAAAACTAAATTAAGCTTTGGATACGCTCCTCCATCTGAAGAAGAGTATTATACTGCAGAGGATGGGGAATCTTCCGAAGAAATAATAATGCCAAAAGGTGAATAAATTCCGAAAACTAATATTTGTAAAAATATTTTAGAGGAAATCAAAGTTGTCCTGAACGATTCCGAACTTTTTACTCTTTTGACTGAATTGGATCTTCCAAGACAATTCAATGATGCGCTATCGGTAGCAAGCGGTGGAGCTAGTCGTGGGGAAGAATCGCATAAAGCTCTCTATTCGAAGATAGCTTTCAAAACATATAATCTTCTGGTTGAGGGCAAGAGTCCAATTGATTCCTTAAATGAGGCAATTGCCAAAGTAAAGGAACATTTGAATACTACCTTCAAAATGAAGCTGATCCTTAAAAATCGTAAGAGAACAAACACAGGATATAAAAATTTTAACATATATTAAGGTTTTAATCAAGCTAACTGGCCCTATGACATGTTTCTCTTCCGTGCAATTTTGGAAATTTTCGGAAAAGCCTTTGCAGCTGGCCTTCGTCGCAAACACATTCTTCTTCCTCAAACAAGCTTAGTTTGTTCGTTGTGTGTTAAGCCATATAATATGCCATTGGCCAGAGGAGGATATTGCCCAATACGTAAATGTGGCCAAAAAGTCGATTTGAGTGCCCACAAGCTAATGAATGATGAAAATATTAAAATGATAGATGTCTGGTTCGATGATTTCAAATTTTTTTCTCCTCAAGATGCACGGAAATGGCAGAAACAATTTCTTCCCAATTATTTACCTGGAAGATTCTTGGTGGAGATCGTTAATACTGAATTAGCTGAGGAATCAGAAGAAGGTATGTTTAGTATTTTTAATTGTTAGGGGTATGAAAAAACTAGCAATATCTCACATAACGCGCTTCACAACAATATTTATACTATGCATAACATTAAAATATTTAGAAGCAGATCCAAGTCATTCATATCAATTCAAGCATTCATTCAACTATGGGCCTCAGAAATTTGATGCAAATCATCAATTCGGCTACTCTAATGGAACAAATCAGGAGCATAGTTTTGCCTATTCATCTCCTCGCCGTAGTCCTGCTCCCCATAATTTCAACACGAAAATGTCATTCAACTCACCTGACGGAAAGCGAAATAGAATGAGCACAAAATTTTCTTTCTCAAACAACCACGATAACTCCTTTGAGACTATGCCCCCTAAAGCAGCCCCCAAAGCAATGCAGCATAAAATGAATGTTAAATTTGGTCCAACGCAAAAATATGGTGGAATTAGCCCTAAAAGTCAATTCTCTTCGGCACATTCGTTTAATGGCCATGGATTCAAATATAATTATGGCATGAATCATTTCCCGCAATAAAAACAAGGAAGCGGTTTGAGAGGTAAACGACTTGGTTAAAGAAACATTTAAATGAAAAAAAGATTTTCTAAATCTTAATCCTTTCACTATTGTAAATATTTTATCTTCCGTTCAACCTATTGAGTTATGTAGTTTAAATTTAAACGATACTTTCTTTGATTTTTATAAGATTATGTAAATTTAAACAATTAAATAAAATAATATTCGTTAGAAAAATTTATTTTGTTGAATATTTATAACTAAATTTAAATAAAATATTTTAACCAAAATAATTTTGGAATCATTTATTCTCTTTCTTATTTATGAACAACAAAAAGGGAAAATTATGGGAACATCATTGCTAAATAACACTTGGGATCGGATTTTTATGTTACCGAAAATGTTAAAATAGGTTCAAAAAAAGCGACATATGTACGCTAAAAAATCCTATCCCAAATACTTATAATAATATTATACCGAATATTAGTGATAAATGGAAGATGGAAACAATTTTTGAAAAAAAATTTAAAAGTATTATATTATGATTTAGAAACTTGAAATATGTAAATTTAAAAAGGTACTCGTAATAATATAATAAACAACATGTAATTACTAAAGTGATATCCGTACTTTCTTGAAAAGCTAATCTTTGCGCAATTGAGGGATTAAATATATGAAAAAGTATTTAAAAAGTGAAGTAATTTGTAAAGAAGTATTAATGAAAGGATTGATTTTAGAGTTTATTCCTTGTCCAGAAAGTCGGGGAGTGTGAGAATCGTTACTCCCCTGGAATCAGAAACTCTTATGATTCATTCTTGTCAGATATGCGAGACTAGCTCTGCATAACTTCAGTCTGTTCTCCAAGTAAAACTGGTAAAAGACAGCCGACGTTTGGTAGCTGGATAAATAATTTTAAAATTAAACTAGAAATATTTTTACAATATGGTCGGCGTTCGGACTAAGCTCGCTAACATCTCCAACACCTGAAAGAACACCCACTGTTGTACCAACATTCGCTTGCCGACCCATGCCCATATCTGCTGCGGTGTCTCCCACCATTAAAGCTTCCTTTAAAAATAATTTTTAAATATGAAAAATAACAGAATCCAAACCTTTGGATCAACACCCAATTCACGACATATATGTAGGGCATTATGGGGATTCGGTTTAGGTTTTGAACCAGCGTCATCTCCACACATAACAAAATCAACAAAACGTTCCAAACACAAACTTTTCAATGATGTTTCAGTTCCAATACTAAAAATAAGGATACCAGATCTAGTGAAAAGTAAATTATTACCGGCTGTCAGCAGTACAAATTGCAATTTTCAATCCCAATTCTTTAAGTCCAGAGAATAATGCACGCAAATCATGGATTTGTTTAAGTGTTGTAGGGCAACTTGTGTTGCAGTC